TGGAGGAATGGGCCCCTCGGTGGGGCCGAAACCAGCTGCATGCAGCAAATTTCGTAGCCCCCCCTTTCCCAATCTCCCCCTTTCGTCCGGCCCGATCTTCCCTCTCCGAGTGCCATCCACCTCCCACTCAGCGAGCGACGACGAGCGACCACCTAAACGGACAGGCGTCTGGGCCCTGCTGCGAACAGGCGGAGGAGGCCGTGGCCTCTGGGATGCGCCATGCACTGCTCTGCGCGAGACATAGACAAGTTGCGAGCGGAAATTGGTCGCCCGAATGATCCGGGGCAACTCGGGTCCGGGGTAACTCGGGTTTGGATTCCCGTAAAACGAACCCGAGTTAGCCCTGACCCGAGTTACCCCTGATGACTTTGGGCACTGGACGCCCGAACCATCTGGGGTAACTCGGGTCCGGGGTAACTCGGGTTTGGAATCCCGAAAAACGAACCCGAGTTAGCCCTGACCCGAGTTACCCCTGATGATTCGGGGCTCTGAAGAAGGTGCATGCGGCAAGGAAGGGGAAAGGGGGTCCACACCTGTCTTCGTCGGCATGCTCGTCGTGGGCCGTCGTGTGCTCTGGGGGTGTCGGCGTGCCGTGCCAGCGATTGCCAATGTCTCTGCCACCTCCGGCGGCCCGGCCGCTTGGGAACGCCCGAGAGCCTCGCCAGGTCGAGGCATCCCCCCCCCCCCAGAGCGTATCCTCCCCTGTCCTGTGGGTTCCTGGCGGTGTGCGGTCCATGAGCTCCGGCCCCCGGACAAACCCGGCGAGGCTGGGCAACCGCCGAGAAGCGACGAGAACGTCCGAAAGCCTCAAGCCTCGAAAGCCTGGAGCCTCGAACCCCCAACGGTGCAGAGGTGGGGGGCGGGGATCTGGTATCAACCTCCAGATTTGGAGACTCTGGACTGTGGATCGATGCGTCCCCATCCTCTGAGCCCATCCCCCCTAACGTTGCGTCTGAGGTGGGAGTTCTTGTGCAACGACAGCGGCCCAACTTGACAGAACCAAATTCTCCCCTCCGACCCTGGCCGTGACATTTGGACGCGTGGCGTGCGGGATGCTGTGTTCACGTTTTTGTCCCGCCCCGCTTCTCCGGGAAGCATGGTTCAATGAGGAGGAGGAGGAGGAGGAGGAGGAGGAGGAGGAGGAGGAGGAGGAGTGGACCCAGTCAGCGTAAGCGATGGCTGTAACACACGGGGGCAGGGGGTGTGCGGAAGCCGTGGCCCCCAGATCTCCGACGATACGTTTTTGGAGGCAATGTTGGGGTGTTCCTTCATCGTCGCCCTCCGAACCCAGACCCCCCGATGTCACGATTTGTCCATAACGTCGATCCCAGAGGCCTCGACCCATTCCCCGGAAGCAGTCGCTCATCCTGAGCCGTTTTTCGGTGTCTGTCATCCTGATCCTGAACCGTTTTTAAAGGATCCCTAGCCCCAGCGAGGGCCCCCCCAAAAAACACGCCGTGATTTCTCCATGACCGATGGGGGCCTTGGAAGCCGGAGGCTCCCGACAGCGCCTCGTCGGGTCGACCCCGGCGTCCCGCCCGCACGCCGGGAACATCTCCTGGCGCAGGTACGGCCCGCGCCCCTCGCGACCCTCCACCGCCGCGGCGGCCTCCGCGGCCCTCACCTTGCTGCGCTGCGCCCGCAGCGAGGGGGGCACCTCGCGGCCAGGGGAGGGGGAGGGGGAGGGGGAGGAGGAGGAGGAGGAGGAGGAGGAGGAGGAGGAGGAGGAGGAGGAGGAGGAGGAGGAGGAGGAGGAGGAGAAAAGGAGGAGGGAGAAAAGGAGGAGGAGGAGGAGAAGGAGGATCAGGATGAAAAGGAGGATGAGGGGGAGGAGGAGCACGCGTAGAGCTGGGGGAGCGGACGTCCACTCCGACCGAGCCGGGCGCTGGCCTCGGAACGCAGGCTGCGGGGGCAGCTCTGCTTCACTGATCGAGCTGAAGACGATCCTTCGCGGCACTCGGCGCGGTAAGATGGCCATCGTAGGTGTAGTCGATCCTGTCGCTCTCCACCTCCAGGTCGAGTAAGTACGACACGAGGAGGCGCTGGCGAGGACTCGACAACGAGTGTTCCACACCGTGTGGATGGTACGCCGTTCTGGGCGAAGGTGCGCGGCGGACACGTGAGGTGGCACAGCCGATCACACTGTAGAGAACGCGAGATGGAGACACATGCGCCGACGCAACCGAACTTGCACGAGTCGACCTCGGGCGTGACGTGCACCGTCAAGCTGGTGTGCCACCCGCCAGCCAGCTTCCACATCACAGCCCAGCGCGATGACGGTGGAAGGAGTGCAGCCCGCGTTTTCAACACTCGCCAGCGGGCACGAAGGTCGTGAGGAACACTGCCAGGGCAAAACGACGCCTCCAAGCGCGTCTTCAGTGTGACCTCGAAGCCGTCAAGGATTCAGTGGGCGATCAACACGTGCATAAAGTGGCATTGGGGCTTCGGCTTGATACGGCACGCTTGGCAAACATCGAGGCCCTAACCAGACCGCGGCGACGGCGAGGAGGGACGACCAGCGATACGCCTCGGACGATGGTCTCTTTGCGCTGGGCGATTGCGAACGGCTTCTTCCAAAAGGCAAGTGATCAGTGGTCCTTAGCAAGTGTGGGTAGACTGCAGGCGCTGCCAGCAGCAGTGTAGAGCTGTTCGTAGAGATCGTGCCACTGCGTCATTGTGCAGGAAGCCGCGCGCCACAACGTCCCCAGCGAGTGCGTGTGAAAGGATCGCGGCGACGGCCCAGGGATCCACTTGGCCAGCGCAAGAACGTCCACCAAGAGGTACTGAGCGGCATCCGCAACTCCCTTTGACGGGTGCGAATCTCTTTGCGGTGAACTTGAGAAGGGAGGTCGAAGAACTGCACGAGGTAGCCGAGGACCGTGATCGCCGACGTCGGGTGCAAACGAGCGCTGGGCATCGCTCGGACGTCCATTTCCTGTTTTTTTTTGGTTTTGTGCGTGGTTGTTTCATGCTCCTCGATGGTCCTCGCCGAAGGAGAAATGCACACGCCCGAGCGATGCCAAGAGCGTTGGCGTCGACCGGGGCAGACGAGGAGCCGATCGCAACGACACGCTGCCACCGCTTTGGCCCCGCAGCGGCCCACTGCATCAGGTTGGCAGCGCCAGGGCCCGCGTGCACGCCACCGCAGAGGCCATCGCCCGCGACCTTCAAGGCGACCCAGTCGGGGCAGGAACCGGTGGAGGAAGTCGCCGACCTCGGCCATGGCAAGGCCAGTGAGCTCGGCCCAGAACAGGATGAGGACACCTTTCTTCACGTTGAGACGAAGACTGCCAAGGAGCCCAGCCTGACGAACTAGTTCGGCGGGCAGAATGATGATGATGATGATGATGATGATGATGATACTGAATATAATGATAATCATAATAATAATGAGGATAATGATGATAATGATAATGATGATCCTGATGATGATGAGGATGATGATGAGGATGATGATGATGATGCTACTGATAATGATGATGATGCTCATGATGATGCTGCTGATGATGATTATGATGAGGAGGAAGAGGATAGGGAACCCTCAAAGGACGTACGCGCCCAGACACGCACATGAACACCCCCCTAGTGCGCGAGGCCTACCTCGTGTGACGAACGTTCGCGCAATGCGTACTTTGGAAACCAACGTGTATTCGTGTACACGTGCGTCCTTTTTCGCTCCTAGGGAGAGGAGGAGGCGCGAAGGGACATACAGCTGGACCTTGGCCAGAAGAACATCTTTCAAGGATGCGAGACCGTCCGTCGGCCAGAACAAAAAGAACACCCAAGGGTGCCCCCCCAGGATGCACAACAACATCTAACACGCACGAAGAACACTGGGGTACGCATCCCGAAGCGACCTCGATCGTATACCTCGGTCCGACCGTACACGTACGTCCTTCTTTCGCTCCTGGGAGGAGGAGTATGCGCGTCGGGACATAGTTACTTCGCCGCCTGGGGCGGTCCTCCTCGCCTCCCCTACCGTCTATGTTTGTTATGATGCAGGCCTTGGCTTGATCATCAACTCCCAAGGGGGTGACGGCTGCGTTCGACCGAGAACCTTGGCCGACAACCCGAGCGAGGAGGGAGGAGGAAGAGGAGGAGGAGGAGAAGCAGGAGGAGGAGAAAGAGGAGGAGGAGGAGGAAGAGGAGGAGGAGGAGGAGGAGGAGGAGGAGGAGGAAGAGCGAACCCAGGAAGCATAAGCGATGCTGGAATACACGGGGCCGTGGGGTGCGCGGAGGTCATGCCCCCCAAATCTCCGACGATACCCGCTTGTTGGCAATCTGGGGCTGCTCCTTCGATTCGATGTCAGCCCCTAAGTGCGGATCCAGGACGAGAAGCTGCCCGGGTGGAAGTGGGGCCGCGGTTTGAAGACATCCCAGGCATGCGATGTCTTGGATTCTTCCATACGTGGTCCCCAGATATCCAAACCCTTTCCCCGCGGCGGGTTTTACATCCCGAGTCGTTTTTGGACGGTCTCACGGCCCGGCAGAGGCCCCCAGAGGCCGAACGCCGCCGAAGGCCTCCCGTCCTGATGTTCATCACGACGCGAGCATGCCTGGGATCATGTCGGCGGACGCCAAGGAAGAGCGCCCGCCTCAGTCCTCTCCTTCACAGCCCACGGAGGAGGATGGCATGACAGCGCTAGACAGGGCAGAGAGCAAAGGATTGAGTAGTGCAGCGGACAGACAGCGCAGACAGGGCAGCGAAAAGAGAGGGAGGAGGAGGAGGAGGAGGAGGAGGAGGAGGAGGAGGAAGAGGAGGACAAGGATGAGGAGGACAAGGAGGAGGAGGAGGAGGCGGAGGAGGAGGAGGAGAAAAGGAGGAAGAGGAGGAGGAGGAGGAGGAGGAAGAGTAAAAGGAGGAAGAGGAAGAGGAGGACGGCGACGTGCTCTTTTTCACCTTCCGGGGGCCAGGCCTTCGGGATGGCCAAAGGAACCAAAGCCCCCTAGCCGAGGACTTCGACGAAACGGGACTGTGTACTAATCCTCCCCCCCCTCACGTCCTACACCTTTCCTTGTTTCGTCCCCAGATCGTGGCTGAAGGGCCAGGGAGGAAGAGAGGAAGCGAGGAAAGGACGACGGAGAACGGAGTACCCCCACCGACGGCTTACACGCCGAGCCTCTGCTGCCCAGCCTGGAGCCGCTCGCGACGGCTCGTACTCGACGAGCAACAGAGCAGGAACAGCGGCCCCCGCGGGGCCCGAAGCCGTACACATCCACCGCCCCCCGAGGGCCGGGAACGTTTGCTTCCCAGGCGGAGGATATCGCTCCTGTCGCTCATGCTCGCGACGGCCCGCCATCGACGAGACAGAATATGAAGAATGGCCCCCGCGGGGCCCGAACACGGCCACATCCACCGCCCCCCGAGGGCCAGAAACGTTGGCTTCCCGGGAAGAGGATATCTGGATACGTAGAACCCGCAGTTGCGGGTAAGAGTGAAGGGGCGGCGGGGAAGTCGACAGTCTGCGAGGCTTTGAAGAAGCTTGCCGCAGGCGCGAAATTCTTCAAGCTATACAACGAGCCCGCCGCAGGCGCCGAATCTTTGTTGAAACAGTGTAGGTGGGTCGCGGGATGGGTCCCAAATGGGTCGCGGGTGGGTCGATGGTGGATCGGGGAAGGGTCGCGGGCCGGGTCGCGGGTGGGTCGCGGGTGGGTCGACAATGGGTCGCGGGTGGGTCGCGGGTGGGTCGCGAGCGGGTCGCGGGCCGGGTCGCGGGTGGGTCGCGAGCGGGTCGCGGGGTGGGTCGCGGGTGGGTCGCGAGGTGTTTCGCGGGTGGATCGTGGGCCGGGTCGCGGAGGGGACGACGACAACAGCAACAATCATTGTACCCTCATGCGCGATGTTTCCACACGAAGCATGCGACCATCATGATAACCATCCACATCATGGGGGGCTCTTGTTCTATAGCGGGGTCCGTTATTCCCATTTCCAGATCTCCCGCCCAATGAGGTCTTGCAAACACCTCCTCCGAGGACTTTCAACATATCCCGCCTCGAAAACACATGCCTGCGCCTTGCTGCGCCGATGCGAGACCGCCAGTGGAACCCCAGCAAAGGGTAAAGCACAAGGAAATATCGAACGACAGGATTGCCTTGGTAGGGATGGGGGCTGTAGGCGGTGAGGCAAGGACCTGGCTGGCCCTGAATAGAAAGGGAGGACATCTCGAGCAGGGCTGCTGTTGTTGCTGGGAGCGGCGCCAATGCTGAAGAGAGTAGGGCGCTAGTTCAGCGTAAAACAAAACGACATCTAGAGCGGGAATGCTGGTTTTGTTGGGACGGCGGCTTTCGGCGGCGAGGACGAACACCGCCTTGAGTAAGAAAGGAGGAAGCATCGAGCGGGAGTCGTGGTTTTGTCGGGACGGGGGCTGTCGGCGGCGAGGAACAGCACAGTCCCGAGGAAAAAGAAAGGAAATCTCGAGTGGGAGCGTTGTTCTTGCTGGGAGCGGCGCCAATTCAAAAGAGAGTAGGGCGCCAGTCCAGCGTAAAACAAAACCAATAAAGTCTGGGGCGGGAGCGCTGGTCTTGTCGGGGCGGCGGTTTTGCGGCGGCGAGGAG